GGTGGCCCAAGCCCTGCTTTGATGTAGACTTTTGGGCGGTCGATGTTCTGTTCTTCACTGCCAGTGTCCTTATACCATCTTCTGCCGTATATTCACTCGGTGCATAGTATCGTTCCCCGCAGTCTACCCATACATTGTGTCTTGAACGGCCGGTGATTGACTCAAGTATAGTCTATTAAGACTAGGCTCCAAACTTGTAGATATCGAGACTTCATCGTAAGTCAAGGCCGATTTCCCCACGGCAGCATTCATGATTCAATCAGTGTATAGTTAGCAGAGCTGGTGTGTGTTGATATTCGTGCGCCGTCACCGATGGACGCTTATGGCCCATTGTAGGATTTTTCTCATCGATTAGCTTCATATAAGTATTAGCTTCCGAGCAAATTCAGACCCTCTAGATGATTGATAATGTCCGTCGCTGTTGGAAACCGCTCGAATGCTGGAGTGTGGTCGATTCATGGTGTGGGCTCCAAAATACGTTGTTTCTACGTATTTTTAAGGATATCTCAAAGTTGGTAGCGGGTGGCATTTAGCAGCCACCGTACCGTACCGAGTAAGTACCACTCTTTAAGATACACATGGGGGGGTTTGTATTGTGTATTGTGTATTGCCGTATTCCCCACCGGAGGCGGAGGGTCAGTAACGCCATGAATGAAATGGAATGATGATCAAGGAGATAATATCGAGTTGAGTTTTCGTTTAGGCCGGTTTGATATATAGCAGACTACAGGTAGTAGCTATACATTTGTAATAGTGATAATATCATCTTAATTTACCTTGACTCAAAATACTCACTACTCCTACTCTGCAGATTGCCCCGTATTTGAGTACTGGGTACTTGTATTACTCTGTACTAGGGTATTATACTTCCCCCCTTCCCCCCAAAGCCAAAGGCCCCCCCTGACCCAGTTAGACCTTCGACTCCCTCTTCCTTTTCCCTCCAATTTGCGCCGCGCCTCGTACAAGTTCCTTTCCACTGCCCCCCCTTGTTAAGATTATCTTACAGACGTATTATGATCACAGCTTAAGGCCTCATCCCGTCTGCCTTCGATCCACTTTCAGCCCTCCCTCTCCTTCCTTCCTCCATATCTCCTTCATCCCTTGGACATTGTTCTCTCCCCTCCTTTCCAATCTCGACACCTAGGGGACCGGCATTATGGCATCCGAAATGACAGGCGAACAGATGCAGGCCAAGATCACTGCGGCTAGGCGCGAAGCTGAGGGTTTGAAGGACAAGATCAAGCGCCGGAAGGATGAACTGGCCGACACCTCCCGTACGACTTTCCCATCCCATCCCATCTCATCCCATCCATTGCCTTTCCCCCCTCATCCACCTCGATTTTTCATCACTACCTCTCGGAACCCATTTCCGGAGTTTCTTCGTGGATCATCTTCCCTTTGTAAAGGGAAAAGAGAGAATTGATCCGGAAAATCAACTCCTGACTGTGAATACCATGCTGACACTTCACTTGCAGTGCGTCAAGTCGCGCAAGACCAGACCGAAGCCCTCCCCCGAATCGGCATGAAGCCGCGCCGCACACTGAAGGGTCACCTTGCGAAGATCTACGCTATGCACTGGTCGACGGACCGCCGTCATCTTGTCTCCGCCTCGCAGGATGGAAAGCTCATCATCTGGGATGCCTACACCACCAACAAAGTTCACGCCATTCCCTTGCGGTCATCCTGGGTCATGACTTGTGCCTACGCGCCTAGCGGCAACTATGTCGCCTGTGGTGGTTTGGATAACATCTGCTCCATCTACAATTTGTCTTCGCGCGAAGGCCCAACCCGCGTTGCACGCGAGCTTTCTGGTCACTCCGGCTACCTCTCGTGCTGTCGCTTCATCAATGACCGCCGAATCATCACTTCCTCTGGCGATATGACTTGCATGCTGTGGGATATCGAATCTGGTTCCAAGGTCACCGAGTTTGCCGACCACCTGGGCGACGTGATGTCAATCAGCATCAACCCGACCAACCAGAACATCTTCGTCTCCGGCGCCTGCGATGCATTCGCCAAGCTGTGGGATATCCGTACCGGGAAGGCCGTGCAGACATTTGCCGGCCATGAGTCCGATATCAATGCTATCCAATTCTTCCCCGATGGAAATGCCTTCGGTACCGGTTCCGATGACACCACCTGCCGCCTGTTCGATATCCGTGCCGACCGCGAGCTGAACAGCTACCAGGTACATTTCACCCCCGCCCCCCACCGAAATGCAACAAACATACGAGTCGATTCTGTCCCCGAGCCAAAGCTAATTGAAAATGTAGAGCGAGCAAGTTCTGTGCGGTATCACCTCCGTCGCATTCTCCGTATCGGGTCGTCTCCTGTTTGCCGGATACGACGATTTCGAGTGCAAGGTACGTTATATCTTTTCTTTGCTGGTATATTGGTCGATTGTTGCTAATCGAGATTCAGGTTTGGGATGTTCTGCGTGGCGACAAGGTTGGCTCGCTCAGCGGTCACGAGAACCGCGTGAGCTGCTTGGGCGTGAGCAACGACGGTATCAGTCTGTGCACTGGATCCTGGGACTCTCTCGTAAGTTTTCGCTCCGACAGTGACGGACTCCAGGAGGAATATCTACTAACCTCTGCTGCCGCGATATAGCTCAAGGTCTGGGCCTGGTAAACCTAAAAACAAAATAAAACAACCGCAAGATACCCCGTGTCGATCATTTGCAATGCTCTTATTCGAAATTTTATTTGGGTCGATGGGTCGATATACCGCCATTGTACGATAATAATCAGCTAACCGTGGGGATTTCCCAAAGGGGCTCCTGCGATTACGGCGCAGTCAATCGGGTTCGTCGCATGCGATACGGAAAGTGTATGGTGAAGGCGAGCGCGACGCTGGGGAAGAAACGAAAGCGACGACACAATGTTCTGGGCATGACGAGGGCGTCCGTGGTAGTTGCGCAGTGAACCGATCAGTACTGCAAAAAAACCGCAGCAGGTTCGCCCCAATGATCCCATGGCGATTTCTTCTTGTTGATTGTCCGTTCCTCCTGCTGGATGATGCCTTTTTTTTTTTCTCTCTTGATTTCCCTTCTCTTCTTTTTACCTTTCTTCCTGACGTCTTTTTTTGATCCCCCTCCCCCTTTTATTATTCTATTACCCCTCTTCGTTCTGGAAAGCCTCTCCTCTCGGTATGTATTGTCTGGGGACGGAAAGGAAAGGATTTGCTTTGTTGGAATTGGCCATGATTTCCCTCTTGATATTATTCTCTGCGTTACCTGCGTCATCTCATTTCTCATTTCAACACTTTTCTTTGATCTTTTTTCTTCTCTTTTCACCTATGTCCTATTTCCTTGCGTCCTGTGAAAGAAAGAAGGGTTGTCTGTACCTATTGTTGCCTTTGGCGCCCCCTGTGGAAACCATCTATCGGATGTGATTCTGTTTCCAGCAACTCCAATTTCCATTTGTGATTCCAATATTTCGTGTATGTCTGTCTCCCTTGAGGAATCCAGCTTCTCGCCTTCTTCTTCAAACCCGTGGCCTTTTTGGTTCTGGCCTGATCGGCAGACATAGGACATTCATCCAAGGTCTCCGGTTCATCAGTCCCATCCATTCCGACTAGATGTAAACGATACTAGGTCAATCGGAGCGGAAATGTGTAGGATGCTCATCCATTTTACCAGGAGATGCTAGTCAATGCTAGTCAATTCCAATCAGCGTGCAGCGTGTAAATTTTTAGCAGCCATGGACGAGGATGGGAGGATACCAAGTAGTAGTTTGTGTATGAGAATGCTAGTCGGGATAAGACCGAGAATAAATGCCAATCGGACACGCAATATCCTCTCTCTCACTCACTCCCACTCGCTCGACCCTCGGCCGAGCCCATGTGCTAGACTGTTTTCTCACCTTCTCCTCCGGCCCGTGACGATGCTCGTGACGTGGACCGGAGCGGGATATCCTGCAGGAAGATTCCACCTCGACAACGCACCTTTCGTGGTTATGAAACATGGACATCCACACCCCCGCTTCAACATTCCTGGCAGGTCAAATTCGGCTGCAGAAACAAGCGGGCGACATCTCCTTAGTGAGTAAAGGGCCCCCAAAGCTAAGATGGCTAGGAGCCCGCGAACCGTCAACCTATACTCGTTCAGGAAAAGGGTCAACAAAACCAAGTCCAAACTGTTCTAGTAGCAGTGGATCAGATCCTCGATCGACAACTCCACATCATCCAGGTCCCCTTGTTTATTTTAAGGTATACGCCGCCAGATACGGAGTACGAACGGGGCCATTGCCTGGGAGAGGAATGGTCGTTGAACGGCTAGGCCCTCGGGTTCGGCCGAGCAATTAAACGAGAAGTGTTGAGCCAGTGAGAGTGGATTGTTTGATCCGCAGATCGAGTTTCAAAGCCCAGAGACACCAGGAATGATGAAACGCAACAGGGCTGGACAAGTTCTGCAGCAGCCTTGTTTGTCCATCCATGCCCAGTTCAGTCGCACGAACCGCTCGCGTGGACAAAACCTTGGTTTCCACGTGGATATGTTTGCCTCCTCTGCCTCATTTCGGAGAAGTAGGTAGTATGAACATCATTCTGCTGCCTGGGGTAGCAATGTGACTGGGATGGGGTTATGAGCACCACCAATGCGACGTGACTGCCAATGTGATTGCCTATCCAAACAGGAGCCATCTCTGGATTCCGGAGTATACAACCACCACACCAACACCAATCCAATCAACCACTCGATCCATGTTCTTCGGCCCTTCGGTGGGTCCGGATTGTCAGGCCTGAAACCCCCGTCGAAAAGGGGCTGCAACGTTTCACCCTGGCGATCTCTTCCAAGCTCAGCCCCAACTCCGTCGACATTCCTTCGTCTTGCCTCAGGGGCTTTTCACTGCCGGACCAATCTCTGCTCTGTGTTTCCTTTTTTTTGCCGTCTGACCAACGTCCGAAGCGCCCATTGCTTATCCTTCTGCCCCAGTCGAAAGCTGCGTGCCCAAACCCCGAACAACTTAAAATCCCCCTCATCTCCACCACCTCGTGCCACCATGTCATCAGCAGCCCAGGAAGAATTCAACCAGCTGGTCAACAGCAATCGCGAGCGAGCCTCCCGTCACCCCGAGGATATCGACTCTGACGACGAACCCCACTTCTCCGACGACGAGTCTTCTACCCGTAACTTGCGCCAGCGCCACGCCGTTGATTCCTCCGACGAAGACGAAGACGAGGTTGATAGAAACATGGTCTCCTCCCGCAACTACCACATCCCCAACACCGTTTACGATGCCAACACTGGGCCTAAGGGCGTCATCGCTGACGCCCAGGCCTTCGAGCGTGCCCGCAAGAAGTCCTTCCGCCAGACTCTCCTCAGCGCTGCCGGCTTCGACTCCAAGGCCACCCGCGATGAGACTCCCCCGCCGCCTGCGGAGGGGTCATCGGGAAGCGAGGATGACGAGGACCGCTTTATGCGCAAGTGGCGTACTTCCCGCATGCACGAGCTTCAAGGTCGTCCTCGCCGAGCTTCCCCACGCGGCCGCCGTTACGGCACCGTTGAAACCGTCGATGCTGCGGGGTACCTCGATGCTATCGAGAAAGTCACGCCCGACACTGTTGTATTAGTTTGTATTTATGACCCGCAGGTATGTGATCTCGTCTTTTGCATAGTCAATTGCTCTCCTCCGTCCCAATCCCTTGTTTTAACTTTCATTTTCCGTATAGTCTGATGATAGCGCTATCGTGGAAGAATGTCTCGTCACCATTGCCCGCAGACAATCTTCAATCCGCATCGTCAAGCTGCACCAGGATATTGCCGAAATGAGCCACATTCAGGCCCCGGCTCTCCTGGCCTACCGTGGCGGTGACGTTTTCGCTACCATCGTCAATGTCATCCGTAGCATTCCCAAGGGCCGCAGCTGCAGCGCCGATAGCCTGGAAGACTTGTTGAAGCTGTACGTCTCCCCTCGACGGGTCCAGGTCACATTATTTTTACCGCATACTGACTAAATCTTACAGAAACCGCGTGCTGTAATATTCCGTTGACCGGATCAAAGTGATTTTTGCACAGCAATAGGCGTTGTGGTCTTTTGACTCTCACCCCTCCCCTTATCCCTCTCTCTCCTAGTGTTTCTTTCCTTGTTGTTTTACCTCTTCTCTTCGAGCCATGTCTTTTATTCCACATTTTTTTTCCCTTACAGTTGCTGTCTTGTCGATGCTAAAAAGAGATGGTCTAGGTGGATGTTTCAATGGCGTTGGAGAATTCGATAGATTGCGGATCTGGGCTCCGTTTGGGTGGGATGCTTACTGGGTTGGCTTTTCTTCTGCTTTTTGTTTCTTCTTTCTTGTTTGTTATTTCCCTCTCACTGGCTTCCATGTCTCTCCTTGTGTTTTTCTCTCTCCCTCTCTCTTTCCTTTAGTCTACGAAGACTTGACTGCGTCTTGCTGGTCGGGCCTGTTCTTGTCTCGATGTTGATTTAGTTGAGATATCCCATGCTGTTTTTGTTTCATGTCTTTATTTCCTCTCGTAATATTGTCATGTAGTTATTATTTTGATCTTCAGTAGTGATGCCTCTAACAGAGCTCCATGTAGCTGGTCACAGAGCTTATCGAATATCCAATTCCAAGTTCCCATACAGCCTTACGGTTTAACCTAGATCCCAATATACGACGTCTTCAACTCAACATCTGTCAAGCACCAAAATAACGCAAGCCACGGAAACTTGAAAAGACGGCATTTGGCAATCGGTATCAAAATTTCCCCCCCAATTCACTTAGAACAAAGCGAAGAGATAGATTAAAACAAGAGAAAATGCGACCTCACTCCAGTGCGCATTGCCGGGACTCTTTTGAATCATCGGTATCGTATCTGACTCTACGGAAAACCAAAGGGGAGAGACAACGAAATAACAGACCCAGCCAGGTTTCCTATCGAAGGAGCCCACCAACTCCCAATATCCAGAGGACAGGGGTGCAAAAAGCACAGCACAGCAACAAAACAGACAGAGGAAAAGAAATGGAATAGATGACGACAGAGATAGATAAGAAGGAAGGAAAGAGAGAGAAATAGAGAAAAACGGAGGTTATAGCCAGTTATTGTTCAAAGTACCCGAACATAAGCTAATTCAAAAAAAAGATGTGGACATATCGCTTTCCCCCCTTTCAGGACGGGAAAGTATTAGAGGGCATGGCGGTCCGATGCAAAGTCCCACAGCATCTTGATGAGGGAATCGGGCAGCGTGTAGAGGTCGACGTGGAACTCGCCCACTATTCGAGGTGACGGGATTAGCATGTGCATAAGTTCGGAGGAAAGGGGGATGGGGCACAACTCACGCTCCATATCGTTTTTGGTATACGAGTCAGGCGCCTTGTTGTCGTGGACCATTTGCACAACTTGCAGCAAGTCGTCCTCGTTGAGCTTTTGCAGGCCATCGGCGAGCTTGTCCATATCAACCTGGGAGGAGCGGGTTAGTTGGTGGGTAATCAACAGGGTCAACAAGCCGGCATTGGCAATCCCTTACATTCTTCTCAGTGCGCGACTTCTTCTTCTTGGCGCTCTCCTCGCCAACGGCACTACGTTTGTTCTTCGATCCGTTCTCGTCACCGGGAACAGGGCCGGTTTCACGCAGAGCGGACAAAAAGCTCGCCTTGGGGTTCTTGAATGTCTATTGTGCCAGGAACGTCCTCGGTCAGCTATCTTCAATGGTAGTGTTTTCCAGGCAGGCAACTCTTTGAAACGTACCAGGACGTGTTTGGACTCATAACGCTCCTGAGCAAAGTTCAGATCGTGGTTGATGAAATGCGACTTGTCCGCCACCAACTCGATCTGCATGTCAAATTCACCCCATCCTTCTTCTTGGATACGGAAAGGCGGGTTCTTGAAAGCTGGAGTTCACGAATGCAATTAGCTATGTTCCTACCGGAAACGCAGGAGAGATCACGTTGGCGCTGCCAGCCAAGTGATGACTGCCACCATAAAAGGACCGACTTACTCTGCGTGGCACGGGGTCCGAAACTCGGGTGCAGGTGGTAAACCACCTTGTCGAAGAGATTGGCTTGCACCAAGTCGCCCTTGTCGTTGACAATGTAGACCTCGATCCACCACTCACGTTGCGGGAATCCCTCAACTTCGGAAGGCTTATCACTATTGGCGAGAAAAAAAACCGTAGAATTAGCCTTTGATTCCTTATATCCCATGTCTGGCAGCATTTGGAGGGTGTAGTCGGTTCGGCGCGTCCGGGGTTGATCCTCGTGTGCACATTGCTTTCATCGCGGTTGGGTGACCTGACCAAACCGAACTTCGCGGTATAGATCAAAGAAAGGTGTGTTGTGACGATGGACGATTGCGCGAAGGGTCTGAAAGGATGGTAGGTAGGGCGCGAAGCACACGTACATGATATGTTGCTCCGTGACGAGACGGACATTTCGCTTGACCTATCCGTGAAATGCCAGTTAGTAATTAAGTTGATAAATCATGTTGCCCGAGCAATGGATATCATTTCGCTCTCCTTATTTTTTCAGAAGTAGCTTGTGTCGTAGCTTATGCAGCGCAACCATGGAGACGCGGTGAATAGCGCTTGCGCACACAGTGGGCAGACCACCGCGGCTGGAGACGAAAAGATGGGGGAAACAAGATATCGGCGGATTCAAATTAACTCACGTCGGGCATTGTACTGTTTGGTTGTCGGAATCCGTCTCTTTTGGAGAGGTTTGGGGTAGATATGAAGAAGGAGAGGGGAGGCGCGCAAGGAGGGTCGGGGAGCGTGAAAGCTTGCGCGGATGGATCAGCTGTGGAATTCTCCTTGGGATCGGAGGTAGGAGGATGGATGGGAGGAAGTCTTTTGGATGGCGCTCAAAGGTATATAGAACGCAAGACGTAGCGCATTGACAAGCAGTGAATGGGCACAAAAAGAGGACCTGCTGGAGTGGGGAGGAATGAGGTCGGGGAGATCGGTCTAAGACCGCCCACAGCGGCGGCCCGTTTGGTTTGGTTCACTTCCGTTGGTGGAGAGCCTTTCCCACCAGAGGCCATTCCTTGTTCTATTCGCGAGGTTTGAGGGAAATTGTCTTGACAGTTTTGACACTCCCGTTAAAACCTTGGAATATTTTTAAGACAGAAATGGAAGAAAGAAAGATTTCCCGGCTGTCTTGGAAGCTCCTACGTTGGCAAGGAAAGAAGCTCTGCCCTTTTATTCACCTTTGAATACACCGTCGATATACCCACGTCTAATACCTCGGTACTAGTACTACCAGTATCCAATGATGTGCAAGGTGTATATTCGATGAAGAAATGTCTATCTACTGCCGACAGTGGAACCAAAGATATCGGGAACTGTCCTCCGTTTCATCATCACATCACAATAATATGCGAGCAGCATCTTCATCACTACTGCCCTGCTCGTCACGTCGTAGGGGAAGGGGAAGGGTTGAAAAAAAAAAAGGAGGAGGGGAAGGGCGGGGAAGGAATATGGGATATTGTGTAATTGATTGAAATGTGTGTGGGAGGGGTGTTTGGGAATGGGATCTAGGGAGTTTTCAGAGCAAGATTCTGTTTCACAGGACTGAAGTCATCGACGATGAGCACATTACTCGGTCTTGACGTTGCAATCCATTGAAGAGAGCGAAGGGGTAGTGAAAAGCGCAGGGCGGTTCTACTTCTCAGCGCTGAAGAGCTTCTCGTTCGCCTCCTGGGCCTTCTCGAAGGCATCCTTGAACAGGTTGGCGTCTGTGGATGATGGGTTAGCTTATCTTGAAAAAATTCGTATGTGAACATTTCCAACTTACTCTCGCTGTTGGCGAAACGGATAGCCAGAGTCTGAGCCTCGGGCTCACCCTCGCTGACATCGGCGGCCGCGTTCCAGACCCAGCTGCGGTCACTGCCGACGTTGGGGCTCAACTTCATGTCGGGGACGACTACGCGTATTTAGTTAGTCAAAGGGATTTTTTTTGAACAAAAAGAGACCAAGTATGAAGGGTGTCTTACTGTAGTGGTTGGCGCAGACCTTCAAGGTCTTATCCCGACGCATGACGAGACGGGTCTTCTGGTTCTCCTTGTGCTTGAGCAGACGGACATCACCAGTACCACGCTCCTTCCACTCCTTGCTCTCGCGGTCGAACTTGAAAAGCTTGGCACGCATCTTGAAGGACTGCTCCTCGAGCTCCTCGTTGGTCTTGGTCTCGACGCGCTCGGTCAGGCGGATGACGGGCTCGAAGTGAACTTCGGGGGATTCGGGAGCATCATCCTCAGGGTTCTATAAAACATATATGTTAATTATTCGTCAAGGTATAAGTCTCGAAGAAGGGCTTCTTCCGGGATCTCAAGGCTGAAGATGAAGAATATGGCCATTTTGACAGGATCACACAATGCGCGCGGCGGGGAGGGGGAAACACCCCGCGTTTTGATATTGTTTGGTCGCCAAAAGCCAACTCCTCAACCACATAGCCCATCCGAAAAGCCTCTGAGGAAAATTTGCTCACCTCGCTCTCCTTCTGGGCCTTGGAGGAACCGGAAGGCTCGTCCGCACCCTCGTCGGTCTCTTCCTTCTTCTCCTTCTTGGGGCCACCACCGAACATCGAGAACACGGTGTCGGAGGTGTTGGCGGCAGCGTCCTTGACGGTATCAGCGGCCTCCTTGGCTGTGTCGGCGGCAACCTCAGTGACGGTCTTCTCACCCTCGCCGGTGGCGGGGGTCTCCTCGGGCTTCGCGGCCTCAGGAGTGATGGTGGGGTCGGGCTTGGTATCCGCGGCGTCAGACATGGCGAATAGTGGTGTATGTGGTACTCGGGGGGAAAATTTGCGACGGCGGGGGGGTTTCAAAAGTGGCAGACTACCTGCAAGAATGATGATCAGGGGGGGTGATAATTGGGTTTGTTGATTGGGGGTTCGATGAGGGGGGGGAAAAATATTAGTCTGGGTGGGCGCGGGCAGAATTGCCCCACCGCTTTTTTTGGCCGCGCCCCCAGAACGCGAGGGGTTACGAGTGACTGGAGGAACTATATGAATTACAGGAACTACCAGATATACTATTGAATGGAGGGGTACACAATAAGGAATGGAGTTGCATTACACCGACGTAACTATTCGTGAAAAACACCAGTCCAACCAAGGAGAAAAACAAACAAAAAAACATAGACACACCCCGCCCTTATTAGCCAAATCGTAAACAAGCAAGGATACCTAGGGTATTGAGATATTGAGAACTGAAAAAAAAAAAGAAATAAAGGATAGCTCAGCATTTCAGTAATTCGTTCGTTTCACGCCCGCGGGCAATCCGCCTTCTTCTCTTGGCGACGTCCGATGAAGTGACGAGCCCGAGTCTGAGCACGATCTAGCGCGCTCCTCACACTTCGCACTCGATCCAGCGAGCAATGAATATCAATATTCGGGGTGGACTTGCCCAATCGACTCCAAGCATTACTCACGATCCCTTTGGCTCCCCGGTTCACTGTCACGGAGCGGCTTTGGAGAACGGAAGAAACGCTTTGAAATCGCTGTACAGCATTACGGGTAATGACTTCCGAAAGCTGCTTCGACCGGGCTAGAACAAGATCGCCAGCGTGTAGGCCCTCGCGCCGGAGACGCTCGGAATCTTCCCACAAGAAGTGTGATCGCTTGACAACATCTCCCATGATTACCTGAAGATCGGTGGTGAGACGGCCATAGACTTCACTAAGCCCCGTTTGGGCAACTTGCAAGTCCTTGGTAATTTGAGAAGAGATGTTCTGTGCTGCTCGTCTCCAGTTGGCAATCTTGAGCCACGGGGTTCCGAAGTCAATTGTCATGGTTTGGTTAACTGGATGAGTGAATTTGGATGTGACGGTCACATCAACCAAACCATAGGCGTCTTCCCGATCCAACCTCAGCGTATAGACCCCATCAAAAAGGCGAGATAATTCATGAGGGAGAGATATACTATTCCGATGGACAGTCACGTCAAACCGCCGCTGTTTTCTGAAGGCAGAAAGGTTGCGTGGGGGCTTGATGACTACATGGCAGTCCCCAACGACCTGAATCTCAAATTCATCAGCACTCACAGCGGAGCCTGATAACGCAATGGAAAGACCCGATGGCGAAGAAACAATAAATTCGGACATTGCAGCAGTTCCCAGATCGAGATCCCCGGAAGGTCGAATGGACAGCGCCGTTTGCCTCACACCTTCCAAGGTCAGAGCTGCAGTCGGGATCGAGGTGGTTGACGTCTGAGACAGCGAATGAGACAGCGCTGAACCAGCAATCAGTTGTGCAAAGAAAAGAGAGACCGCCTTTAATACCGAATAACCAATTGACAGGACCACCGCCGAAATAAGGGTCAAAGTGACGAGACGGAGGAGAGGTCCTAGTTCACGGGTCCAGGCGGCATAGGTTGGTGGGATCCAGCTGCGTGAATACTTCTCGGGGTCCGCAAGCGAATTTCCCTTTGCAGTTTCGGGTAGATCAGAGGTTGCTTTGAGTGTCTTCTTTGGGTAGATGTCCATAAGAGACGCCAGGTTTCGGTTGAGCTGGCTCGGTGTGATGCTTTCAAACGTCTTCAAGTCGATGGGGTAACGCTTGAGTACCGCTGTTTCCCCGGTTTCCGGGTGACGTGACTCCAGGCAAGTATGGAGACTGTGGTGGTTAATAGGAATGGCCTCGCCGGCTCGTCTCCAGATAGGCTCTTCGGAGATGACCATTGCGGGAATCCCATGTCGTTCCAAGAAAATATGAGCGAGACGTCGAGTCTTCACAGCGGCTGCGTTATCGCGGGTGGACACAAAGATAATGGCCACGTCTGGCAAAGTCCACTCAGAAGGAGATGATACTTGATACCCGTTGTCGAGCCACTGCGAACGGCAAGTAGGGCGGTTCTTGAATTTCAAATGCAATGTGCTCGGGCGATCTGCATGAGCGTCGGAGCTAGCTTCCGTGCATTCATCTACCACAAGCTGGACATGAATGGGAAGAAGTTCTGCAAAGTTTGGGACTGCTCCAACTCCGAACGAAGTCGGAACAACATGATATCGAGAGGACTCGGCAGAGCTAGACTGCGACCCGGTAGCTGAGCTTGACACCAGGACATCGCCGATCTTATCCAGTATAATATTCCGGTACTCCGTGTTCCCCAGGTAGAGAACACGAAAAGGTTTATCCAGATCAAGGCTTTGCTTGGTCATGGTTTGCTGGACAGTGGCTAGGATAATCGAGTTGATCGGGTAAGGGTTATATGGGAGTCGGGTCCTGATCTCCGAGGCTGTGTCCTCGTCAAAGACATGGATTGTATGCTTGAGCTCGACTGTTGCCATCTCGGGCCATTTAGCTGGCTCTAAGAATTCGATCGAGTTCAAGGACTGGCGGAAGGTGGTGGGTCGGGTTGTCAGGTTGCTATCATCAATAGCAGATCCGGTATGCGAGAATCGTGATGGAAACTGTTCCGATGTCGCGAGCGCACGCAGCTCTTCCTGGTTCCGATTGTCATAATCATGAGGGTATTCGTGCCCCGGGTTGTCGTCCTCGCTACCGCTGTCTTGATCGTCCAGGCTAGCCACATCGTCGGGGGTAGATTGATCGAGCAAGGAACCGATGTCTGTCTGTTCGGAACGACTCCCATCCTCGGAGTGCAAGTCGGATACACTGAGGGTTGCCCAACTTTCGCTGAGAGCCTTGGTGGGAGAATCATCGATGTTTTCTGACGTCATGTTGTTTGTTGGCCGTGAGCGGGATAACCACTCTTCTACTGAGGCAGTCAGCGGCGGGAGGGTCGGATATTGTAGATGCGAGACTGTTTGGGCGCTCGGTGGACGCCTGGACGAGTCTCGAGCGTCAGCCATGACTCGTATATGTACATCGATGAGATGGGTCCAGAGAGGGAAAGGGAGGAGACAAATATGAAGAGAAAAGAGACGAAGACGAAGGGCAGGAAGCGAAACACGTACAAGGCAGATGGGCGGGATTTAGGCATGTGCCCCGGTTGTGGGTCCGCGGGGTGAAGTCGCCCGTCAGCTGGTTGGGTTGGCACAAGTGGGAAGGAGGAAGTAAGAAGGGGGTGATCAGGAAGGAGTTGTATTCTTGAAAGATATATTCGTATCCAAAAACAAAAGAAAGAGTGATAGAGGGGAGATCGAGGGGCAAGAAAGATAAGTGAGGGGAAGGGAAGCTTTGGAGGAATCCTAGGATAACGTGATGACTGAAGGAAGAAGAGGAGAGGGGTGCAGCTGTTGGACCGGACCAAGCTACTTAGGTACCACTACTAGTAGTAAGTACCTAGGTAAGTATCTACCTAGGTAGGAAGTTGAAAAGTTCGGCACTTTCCAAACTGTCATTCAGTTACCATCACTAGACTACACTCATCACTCTTTCTTATCCACGCATACTTCCAGTCCCCACCGAGCCCCACCGATCGTCACCTAATCGGGAACAGCCATCTTTACTTGTACTAATGGGCTATGGAATATATCACTAGTATACTAGTAGGACTACCTATTTATGCATCTTCCTTTCTTGAATGATTGATATTTTGTGATACTTTAACCAATGTCCACCGTTCATGGTGACGTAACCTTTTTTCTGGCTATTTTCAGAGCCCACCACCATCATGATGATCTTCAATCCCACCTACACCCTACACTACTTCTAGTACTAGTACTAGTTTCATTCTTTGCTGCCAGCTGCACAATGATCAAATCAGTGTCTAGCCCAACACCACCCACTTTACTTAGAGTCCCGTTGGTCAGATTCCATTGCCCAGCACCCCACAATACCTGAGTAATAAAGGTAAATGCAGCCGGCAATTGAATCGTCACTGTGTTCGTCCAGTTTGGCGTCTGCAGAGACAAAATACTAACCAACATCTGTTTACCAACTCTCCATCCCGCTACATCCATCTCAGTCTGTCCCACTGCCTTCAACGTCACAGTCCGAGCTCCGAGCATAAAACCCGGCACTGCGCCATGAGCAAGCACAACCGACAGCTGTTTAGTCATGGTGCTGATTTGCGGCGTAGTCGGCCAGGCCCACATAACAATCCCCTTGGCGTTGTGATTCAAACTCAGCATCGTCATGGTCACTTCTTCCGCTGCGGTAGGCGTCCGGTTATAAAAAGTCTGCTTCCCAAACGCTTGCGGCACACCCCACAGAGGTTTCGGAACACTACCAATCCAAGTCTGGTACTTTTCGAAGCGGTCCAGTCGGGTCGAAATATCCTCGACCACCCCGTCACAATCATCACATCCACATCGTCCGTACGTTTTATTGCAGGGCGTATTGTAGACCACCGACCAGGTCGTGTTGACTCCGATGGGATACACGTCGGAAAGTATAATATCCGCACCGGCCGAGTAGTTGCCATAATAGAAATTATAGCAGTTCAAGAGCACCGAGACCGGATGCCACGGATCCAGCATCTTGATCAGGGCGTAGGCTATACTCGTGGCGTTGAGCGGGTCGCCGTGGCCATCGGGTTCGTCTCCTGTATACCAGAGCAACAAGCTTTTCCGTGCCTGGAGGAGAGCTACCTGCGCCGTCACGGAGATAAGGTTTTGGTATATATAACGCATGTCGTACATCACCCACAGCCCGACCTGATCGCAAGCATTGAGGAAAGTATTCAGCGCGGTTAAATTAAAGGTCTGGGTCAGCGTCGTCGCATCTGGGACGAGGTGGATGATATTGTATCCTTGATTGATAAATGCTTGCGGATTGGGTGCATTTGCCAAAGTCGTGTAGTAAGAATATGGCAGTAGAGGAGTCCAGGTTGTTGTCCTGTTCGTGATGTTTTGTACCAACAGTCCGCCATAGAGACTGTCGACCTTGGTGGTGGTACCCCCGTCCAACCGCGCTGGAAGATAGTATAGCAGCGTCGTTGCGTTGTACACCCACCGCGCACTGGCACGTGTGACTGTGAGGGTTACACCATATGGAATGAGGCGAGGAATAAGGTTCTTGAGGGAGAAAGGCACCTCCTGCAAGCTTTCCGAGGTCACACCTCCGGCAACTGAGTGATGCAGGTGCAAACTCTCCCCCTCGATAGATATCTCGAGCTTCAGATCGCTGTCGTCTTGCGCTTCGGCGTAGTCCCAGGCAATCCCGTGGGTATATGAGAACTGTGATTCCACGATGAAGGAAGCGTTGACATCGGTTGGGATGTATAAGCTCATCCGCGGACGAACTTGGATATTCAAGAGAGGTCTTGTCGATGCTGCGGGTTTCTGTAGCGCACCCCCTGGTGCGAACGATTTATTCCTAGGAACGTTCAAGTTAGTGCCACGGCTTTTTTTGATCCTGTATCGAGCTGCATGGGTCTTCAGGCCTACTTACGTGGGCAGATATGCCTTCCCACACCAAATGCTCACGCCAGGTGGCTTATTAAAGGCAGCGGTCAGGCCAAACACAAGAAGCAACCAAAACATTGGATCGGTTGGTAGAGTTATCGTGATTCCGAGGGCTCAGCAGCTGTCTGGTTACAAGCCAAGTATATCAATCTTCCACTTTAAAAAGCTTGGCTTCCGGCCCCCTCATCTTTAATTTTTCGGATGTTACCTTCTTTTCCGACGCTGCAAAACATTAAAGGGGCACTGCTGGTTGTCTTTGTAACCATGGAGAATAAACCAAACGCTATTGCCGTCCTCGATATAGCCTTGTACTGGCTCGATCTCATAAATCGACATTTTAGATTCATGGCTTAGAACGGAAGGCATCAGTTTCTCTGTAAACAGCTCCCGCGAGAGCTCTTCTCTCTTTTCTTTTCTCCTCAGCTTTATTACATTCGTCAAATACTACACATTTTTTCAGTGTTCTGAGTTTCTTGCACCTCAATTTTCGAATATTTTGTGGTTATCAACCTACCTTAGTACATTAATTGAGTTAAATTTGAAATTTTTTAGGAAGATCAGTTTTGGCTTTATAAATCGATTGGATTTGAATTACTCCATCGCAGTCCCCGGAAAAGATTTATTGCTTTTTAGCTACCTTTTTATTGATAATAACTCTGAATACTGCGCACTCAAGCCTACTTGCTTGTCCTCTGTTACGCGAAATATATTTCTCATCTTAAGTGTCTTCCAAGGTTGTCGAAATGCTCATTTTGTATTGGGTTTTATCTCTTATGATAGATATACTATAAGCAGGGGAGCTCTTTAGACTAATCTACTTAGTATACTACGTAGTATCTCCTTTAAATTTACTTAATAGAATCTAAGTCTATGTAAGGTTTAATATAGTAATATACAGTGCTATAATGGAAGTTCGCACCTTCATAGCCTCATACTAGTATTGTAAAAAAAATCACGAATCCATAGACATCGTCCACAAGCTTATCATTGAAAGAGAGAACAGCTACCCCTACAGTAGATTGGTGATTCACTTTCATGACTCGCCATTACTACTCAGATGCTCATCTTGTCTGAATCATTTCTTTACTCGATCCTCCTACATAGGTAGTTAAGAAAAGTGAGGCCGGATACAAATGGATTTAACATTTGCGAACCCGATGCATTTACATTTTTAACTGATTCACCCTCGATTTTGTAAAGTGGCAATAGTTCCATTCTCGGTTTTCATTGAAAACAGATGGAAGCGTAGGAAATTAGATATATCTGGGTGCTGTTCAATCATCCCGAGCAAACAGCGCTAAGATCTCTTGTTTCTCGTATGTAGCAGCAACATCCAACGCGGTAAGTCCGTTCTTATTCTCCTTCCAAGGACTGAGTCCCAAATCAACAAATATTTCAAAAAGATTCGCTTCATAATCTTCACCCTCATAGTTCCACTCCCGAGATGCAATCGCGTGCAAAGGTGTATTTCCTTCATTATCAACCTCCTGTAGACCATGCAAAGTAGCCATTCTCGCACAGTCCTCCGGGTTCGCGTAGCGATCAGGCATGTTATCACACCACGATCCGTGGTAGCTCTTCGGTGCCTTGACGAATGTAAATAATGCTGTTTCTCCCTTGTTATTCTGTGCTGCTGGGTCACAACCCGCGCTCAAAAACCTGTTGTAGAGATTCAAGGCATCGGTGAAATGATCCGGGCCCTGATCTTCTTCGATCTGGAACGCTCGGTCGATGTTGCTGTAGTCCATAAGCGGCACAGAAGCGTAATGGAGCGCCGTTCGACCGTCTGGGAATATTTCAAGTGCGTTGGCGCCTGCATCCAAGAGGGCGGACACTATCGCGTGGCATATAGCACTGGAGTTATCCACGTTTCCTGACCCACAGTCTTGTTCTGCCACTTCGCTTTCCTTCTCATATTCCTCGAGCGCACACCGTAGTGCTGTGTAGCCTTCGTGATTGCAGTGTGTGATCCTCGCGTCATGGCTTAAAATGGCTTGCACAGCTTCAAGGTACCTGCTGCGGATGGCGTGATGGAGTGCTGTTGAACCAGAATAATCCACTGCTTGAACATCAACGCCCATATTGACAAGTGTTAGCACGGCGCTCTCTTGTCCCTTTTTCGGAACATTCATGCACGCTTTCATTAGCGGTGTGCAGCCTTTACCGTCTCGAGCATTGAGGTCCAGTCCTGTCGAAACGAGACGTTGTACACATTGGTTTGCACGGCAAATCTCATGAAATACAGTGGACGTATTGTCGTAAATCGGACAAAGTGGATTGGCGCCATACTGAATAAGAATGGACAAAGCTGCGTCGCTTGCCTTTGGGTTCAACGCGCTTACTAGGGGGGTTGTGTTTGCTTGTTCCGTTTGGGTTCGCGCCTGCTTTCAGAAGGTACTCCAAGACATCATCTCGCTTACTGGAGACTGCAGAAATTAATGGTGGTCCGGACACAGAGTCCTCCGACAATGAACTCCCTTTTTTTATGAGAAGGTCAATAATCTCGATTGACCGTTCTCTGCTAATAGCAATGTTGAGTGGGGAATTCTCGTGGACGGATTTAGTAACAGACTTAGGATCGGCACCGAACTCGAGAAGGATCTTGGTTGTGGAATCACGCCAACAGCATGTGTGCCTTGCGAACAATGAAGAATGGAGAGGTTTTTCGTGAGAATATCTGTCCTCTGGTCCGTTTGGTGCTGCTCCGGCTTGCAAAAGCGTGGAGAGGCCATGAGAGTGCCACCAACGCGATCCTCTTGCCAATGTATTCAAGGAATTTGTAAAACACTCTTTATCCAGGACATCTGGGACGAATTCTGCGAGGTACTTGATCATTGAGATATTGCACAGTTCTCGGTCTGTAGCATTTTTGATGAGGAATGGAAGTAATTCGGGTAGATCTCCAACGTGTGGAAGCAGTTGCATCATAACAGAAGTCCAACCCGAGCGAGCAGCCAAACCTAGTGCCGATTTTCCCTCGTCTCCAGTAAGCCTCAATCGCTTTGAAGCGAGTAATCTGCCAATTAAAGATCGATTGCCTGTTGAGAGGAGCCTTTTGAGAAACTGCTCATGATCTTCAGGCAATAAAATGCTCTCTGCTGCTGCCTCAGGGGATGACTCGCTGAGAGCCAATAGAATCCCTAAAGATGGATCGAACGCAGTGGGATTTTGACTTGACGTGTGATATCCTAGTTCATCAACAATATCAGCACAACCTAACATTGTTGCCACGTCTATAGGATAATGGCCATCCTCATCAACACTGGTTGAGTCTGCACCGGCGGCCAGAAGTAATTGAACAACCCGACGAATAGATTTGTTCGAGGCCTCATTTTCAACCACATGCTTCAGTTTCTGAATAGCGTCTTTTCTCTGTCTCTTCTGGTAAGGATCAGGACTCTTTTCCACGTGTGAAGGGGTAGAATCATAAGTGCGTTCAAGTTTCCTGGCATCTAGCTCATACTCTACCTCTGCTGCTGCATGCAAGGGCGTTCGATGTCGTTCATCTGCGATGTTTACGTTCGCTCCTGCATTCAGTAACAGCTGTACACACTCAGCAACACCAGATCGACATGCATAATGCAAAGCAGTACGTCCTTTCAGCGTCCGGTAATCGATATCAAACGAGCTTTCTTCGTAAATCTCGATAAGAAAACCCAAAGCATTGCTTTGACCCGCCTCTGCTGCGAAATGCAGTGGTGTTCTCCCTTGGAAATCCTTAGCCCGTACATCAGCCCCGGCATTGACGAGTATCGATGCATTGACATCAGAAATAGCAGCTGCCAAATGTAGAGGAGTGATACCAGCTCGATCTTTGGCGTTCAAGTCACATTGAATAGGTGGTTGAAGAAGAAATTCCACGCGCGTCATAAGATCTGCAATTTGGTACCCATGCATATCTCTTTCCCAGCCACAGTCCTCAATTGCGACTGCAACGTGCAGGATGGTTCGACCCTGGCGATTTTTTATATTAATTGGACATCCGTGATCTATCAGAGCTCTGGCCCGATCTTCCAGCTTCTTCAAGTTCCACTCAGTTTCATTTTGCCAAAGATCGTGGAGGATCGAATTGCCGTCTCGGTCAAGGGCATTGGGGTCAGCCCCAGCAGCGACGAGCAGGTTCGCAAAATCTATTGAGCTTTGGTATCCTCCATAGAAGTGAGAGTAATGTTTAGCTATCCAGTGCAAGGCTTTGGGTTTCAGTTAGTTCTTAGTGCGAAATGTTAGCATGGATCATCACTTTGAACTCACCGGATTTCCCCTCGTCATCCGTTTCTTGAACGTTCAAGCCCATGCTTAGTAGCTCCTCTATCAAATTCTGGCCAGATTTCCAATAATGCTTCCAGTGTGAGAGCCCGGTCAAAAGTGCATTTTTCCCTGTAAAGTCGCGGGTATGGATAGACATTCCTTGCTGGTCCATTTTCTTGAATATTTCGACAAGCTTTTCGTCCGAATCCCCATTATAGTGGAGGAACTCAAGAAAAGGTGTTTTGCCGAAGTTATTTTGGATGTTCACGTTTGAAAGCTTGATCCAGTTTTCCAGTTGTAGAAGACTCTCTCTTCTAGATTTCCTGAGATAGTAAAACAAAGCCGTATTACCTGCCAGATCCTGACGATGGAAATCGGCATTCACCGCCTGGAAGATAAATGGATCTGTCTCCTTTGATCCAGCCGCTAGCATCAATGGAGTCGCTCCATCAGTACAACGTGACACGTTAATGTCCAGGCCCGAGTCAACAAGAAGTTGGAGAATCTCCAAGGTTAGCGGTGTGCCTTTCATGTGAAGAAGTGACGCGCCAGTTCTGTCCAGGATCGAGGCGTCGGCACCTTGTTTTATTAGCACTTGCAGAGGTATGATGGGATCTTCTGCGCTGTAAGAACAAAACTCGGACCAGAAAAACAGAGCAGATCGCCCACGATGATCTTTTGCATTTATGTCGCAGCCTGCAGAGAGTAGAGATTGCAGAACACTCTCCTCTATTGGATGATTTCTGTTGTCCCACGATTTGAATTTGGATGTTCGGAGAAACTGAGGCCCTATAGCCCATCCGTGTACAGGCGTGTAGCTTGGAAGAACCTTGCGGCTCATTGGTGATGAAGAAGGAGGCTCGGGAGGAGAATTGAGGTTCATAGACAGAGCATTTACATCCGCACCAGAGTTCAGTAAGCATTCAACAAGGTCGGACCGTCGCTTTTTGGATGCCATATAGAGAGCAGTGTTTCCATTGCAATCTCGATCATTGATCATACTTCGAACACCCTGGACTCGTAGCAAAGCCTCGATTACCTTTAATTGTCCCTCTAGAATGGCGATATGAAGACCTTTGAAAAGATGAGATTGCTGACAGTGATTGATGAGTAAATCAATCGTCTCAACATGTCCCTGTCGACACGCAATGAGAAAGGGGGTGTCTCGAGATTGAGATGTCTCGTATCTTTCATTCCTGTGGTCGTACGTTTGATTGATATCAGAAACGATCTTTTCGGCTGCCATGTCCGCCCCAGCCACAATGAGATTCTGCAATGCCTGGGTGTTGTTGCGCTCTGCCGCAAAATGAACGGGCTTTCCTTTTTCTGCACATCCAACGTCATGGCTGGCCTGATGCTGGAGTAGCAACTCGATGATTTCGTTGTGACCTCTTTCTATTGCATAAACGAGCGGGGTTAATCTATGAGAATCATAGACATCAGGAGATACTCCATTTTTCAGGAAGTGGCGTGTGAGGAATGTTATTCCATAATGTGCTGCAATAAACAAAGGAGGGACATCGTCTTTGCAGTCCCTGTCCCAACGGCCCGGGTGTGATCTGTTCCATTCTTCACGCCTTAGCCCCTCCCAAAATTTGAGGGCGAGGTTTCCTGGCTGGAAAAATTTGATCAGACAGTCAAGCAGGTTCTCATTAGACTCGGGGCCATTGACGGCGTGGAAGGGCCATTCACTGACAGCATACTGAAGAAAGTAATGCCGCAAGTACATATCTTTTCTTTGCCTGGATGTCATGCCATGGAGAGATGTTTGTTCTTTATTTGCAATATTCTCCAAATACCGGAGGCATGTTAGTGCGATCATTCCATGCACAGAAGCGGAGTCAAGCACAGAAAATTCCCTTTTCTGTTGGCTCATTCGGGTGTGAGAAACATCCCGATTGAGAGCAAACTCTGTCAGAGAGTGGTGGATTATCTGAACAACACCATCCTCACAAACCTCCAGTAAAGGTCCGCATGTTGTGCGAATCCCCATTTTGGCATCTATACTGGGGTCCAGATGACCGCGATCGGGCAGAGCATCCACCATAATGGCAAGTTCAAGCAACCGCATGGGACGCGATGAGTGTATGATCCACTCGAGAATGAGTCGCTGGAAGTGCGAATTTGTTCCTGATCGGGATACATGCTCGTGCAATATATCACCATACATATCTCCTAATCCATCAGGTAGGGAGTCTATCTGAGATAGAATGTCATCTGGATGTAGCAGTAGCTTGTCGAACATGAGTCGAGCATATAGAAACAAGCCTTTGCCACGATCGCATATGGCTTTCTTCAAGATCTCCGCAGTCTCCGCGGGAATATCCATCTCAGAGTTCTCAAGTCTCTGTGTAAGATAAAATGCAATGTCTCTATCTACATTCTTTCGATCAAGCCGCAAATCAACAAGGCATGCGCCACTCATATATCGTTCAACCTGGGGGACTTGACGACTGGTGAGGATGACTTTGACTGTCTCTGGGGTTTGGAGGTTGAGAAACTCTTCGAGAAACTGGTCGGACTCATTGCCTCGTTTCATTTCATCTAAAGCATCGACCACACAGAAAACACGCTCTTTGATCGATCCCAAGCAGGTGGCCAAGCTACTCCAAAGCTTCTCGAATGGGAGGGAAGTCACATTGGAGTGGGCCTCCTTAAGATTCTTCAGAGATTCCACAAGAGGAGGCGAATGATCAACAAGCTCATGACAAAAGTCTTGTATCAAAGACCTGGGGCTGCGATTCATCTGAATAACTTCCCTGAAAAAGAAGAACAGAACGATCGCGTCTCCCTGTCGTCGTAGCCGATTGATTAAACTCGCTGCGACCACAGATTTTCCACAGCCTGGGATTCCCCGGATCCATAGATTCTTGAAATTGTTAGACTGACTCCATTGTTTGTACTGTGTTGTTTCCAATATCCATTCCCCGGTCCCTCGAGCATGCGAATGAAGATGTTTTCTGTATTCGCTTGCAGGGCTGTCCGAGTCGGTCTTTTCAAGCCACTCTTTCAATTCTCGAACAGTCCTCATGTGTTCTGCTCTGTCTATCTGCATGTCTGAAAAAGAAATACGCTTATTAGATCTATCTTAGCGCGTTGTTTCATTTGCCAGATCAACGAAATTACCTGAGTTTTGAATGTAAACATAGTCGGACAGATCACCATTCTCGTCGGATGCCATGTTTGGTTAAGCGTTCTATTTTTGTTGCAAATCGACACCCCTCTAACCGGTCGCAGTTAAACGCAGCATGCAAACTATCTCAAATCAAGATCGAATTGTACCTCTTCGTCTTGCTGGAGTGATTAGTTGTGTTCGAAATGAGTCAAAGGATGAAAAGAGGTGGCCGTCCAAAAGAGGCTTAGAGGTGGGGGGGCCAAATAAAACATGTCACTGGACATAAACACCTTCAAGTTGGAGCTCTCGACTTCTGATGGGTGGTAAAATTAAAAACTTGGAATGTAATCGATTCACATGAATAAATTTGTAGATTATCATCTGTTTTGAAGATAGATAATTGCTGTTGGAAATTTAATAACCTCTGTTTATCTACCAGTACAGAATTGGCCACTCAGAGGTACTCAGAACCTTACTAATATATCACGTGACCTGCTCTGAGCTGCTCAGTGAGTCTGATTCTGAGCGCCCTTATTAAAGCGGCGGCACCTAGAATAGGAAAGCCCCACATTGCATGGGAAACAGTAAGTTGTTGAGTATAGCTACCTAGGTAGAACTAAGTGTTTAGTGTACGGAGAGGCCAAAATCCATTATAATCATCTCATTCTTCGCGTAATTCCGGGTGATTATTCCATACTCTATAGACATCCATGCTGAATCTGGTATTTGCGGGTTAAGAGACAATGCGAAGGGAGAGAGAAGCCCGAGTGATGTGGTGTGCCACAGGGACCAGTGGTGTTTGGGGAAGAACAGGTATGTACATTTCATGAATGCATGATGGAAACACAACAAGTCTTGAGAAGGGGCTGGGAAGAAACGTAACAGGAGGGGAGGGGGATACTAGTAGTAACATGATAGTGTGTAAAGACAAAAAAGAAAGCAGAACAAAAAAACACACAAAACAGCGGGATAGGTTGCCAGCGTTCTTCCCGGCTTCGCCCCCCCTTTCAAAACGGTGTCGGCTTCCCCTTGTCACGAGACTAGGCTGTATGTTTATGCAGACGCATCGACAGGGCCCATGCAGAGTTGAAGTGGGCTAGAGAAGATGACGGGGGAGGCAAAGTCGCATGTAGATATACCATCGGTGCCTAGGAGCCGATCAACCAAAAGTAGGACACGGCCGATCCCAGTGACAAGGATAGCACGCTGGATGAATATGTCAACATGATGGAAATGGCACGCCATGTTCCCAAAAAAAAAAAAGCCGTCAAGAACCGTTGAACGCCACCCAGAAAAGAGCCCCAGCATGACATGCAAGTTTCAGCAATTGACTTCAAGGACAAGCCCGAGAAGTTATTCATAGCCGAAGGAAAAAAAGGCATGAAGAAGCAGATATTGAGAATCAATACGGGGAACGACTAAGTGGTCAGGCTCTATGGCGAGGCCCAGCCACCAGCCACATCAACCCATTCTGAAAGACAACTGCCTTGCTTGCCCTCAACATCCACAATGTCGGTGTCGCAGCGGCATCGGCAGCCGACACCATTCTCCTTGACTGGATCAGGGGACGCCCAATACTCATCCTCTTCAATGCGCTTCTTCTCATCATCGGTGGTCTTTTCAAGGTAAGGTTCGCGGGGAAGCTGTCGGGCGGGGGCGTTGGCTGGACAATGCTGAATGGTCGTGTGACGGTATCCGAAGTCGCGGAAGTAGTGGATGTCACTCGGGGCGAGGAGAACACCGGCGGCAAGGGAATGGATGGGAGCATCACCCCACTATAGCAGATTGTTAGTTTCCGACGGTCAGTCATGGGTATGATTGCACATCAACTTACTCGCTCCATCCAAAATCCACCACTGCGATCCATCATCTGGAAGAAGTCCTCGTATTCCTTGCTGCGGAACCAATCCAAGCGAGCAATTTCAAAGTTACTCCAGAAGTGACACATGTTGTAACTCTCGCCTTCCATTTCCTCGGGGTCGATATCGTCGAGGTTATTGACACCGGGTTCGGATTGGAGAATTTCTTCGGGGAGCTTCTCTTTCTTCTCCTCAGGAGGAGCATCTTCCTCAGCCGGGCGTTCGAGGAACATCTCCCATAGACCCTTGGACTTCATGTTGTTCTTGCGTTTGTAGGCGGATGCATATCGGAAAATATTCGGGACCGTCTCGCGCAGCTCTTTGACTGCAATGGTGAAACCGTATGTCTTGTTGGCTTCGATCATCTTCTGGAATGGATCACTGCGGTTCTTGTAAGTAATTGGACAGTGCATATCGGTGAAAAAAGCTCTTACTAGGTAATGTCGCAGAAGTACTTGATCTCGGGCTCCAGGCGCCAGTACCACTCGTATTTCATCAGGAGAGGATGCTTGTAGAAATGTCTGTACCCGTTGAATTAGTACTCGGCATTTAACTTCTCGGATCGTAGGTTGACCTGTTACGTACCCAGAATAGAAGCGACACATGTGATGATAACTCTCCATACCACCGTACATGATGGCGGCATCACCCTGCTTTCGAACCCCCTCCTTGGCGACCTCAGGGTCAACCCAGTCAGGGAAACCCCACATGGAGTTATCAATTTTGCCGAATTCAACAGGAGCGCTGGTATAGTTCTTCACGGTAGCCTTGAAGTCATCGTCGAAGTCGCCGTCGTTCAGGAAGACATAGGGGTAGTGATACCAGCGGTTGAAATGACGCTCGATGGACTTGAGCGACTGGATCACACCATCCAGTTCCTTGTTTCTGGCGAGAACGACGAACGCGGCGTTGGCACGGGGTTCCTTGTCAACATCGGGGCTGATGGGCATGCAGCCAGTAGCGAAGACCTTGTCATGCTTCTCGCTGATTTTACTGTTGAGGAAGGGACTGTTAGCAATAGTTCATATGTTGGAAGTCTCCATCTGGAGGTGTTGGGGCCTGCAGCTGATGGGGACACATACCGAATGGAGGGTGGAGTGCCCGCTGGAATTAGAATACCCCCGGGGGATGCAGGGTGTCGGACGAATAGAAGGAGAATAAAGACAATTACAAGGCATGGGAATAGTAACACAAAGCCCAGGGGTATAGAAATAGACGAATTCCCCTTCAAGCGAATGCGCCGACGGAAGAAGGCGAATCGCGGAGAGGCACGACCCTTCTCACGGGACGCATCCTCAATAGGGAGGCTCGGCGCGCTTGGTAGCCGCTTCGCGATGCGCTGAATGAAGCTCATGGATGCGGTGTCGGTACGCGTCGAAGACCCCACGGTGGCCAAATCAATGGGACCCGGGCAGTAGGGTCAGAGAATCGTGGACGACCCCAAGCTGGGGGAGTTTGTGGAGTTGATTTGCGAGATCGATTGAAGAGGAGAGGATTGAGGGAGTCAGGTCCAAAGTAATCGGAGCGAAGTGAGGCGAGGACGATCCGATGTCCAGACAAAAAAAAACGAGTGGCCGGAGGAGAGCCTCCTTTCCTTTTTTTTTGTTGTGGGATACCCCCAACTTTCCTTCTCAGTCCCAAATAACGGGTAGATTTGGGAAGGAAGGGAGTAACTCAGACGACCAAACCAAGGGAGGGCGTGAGAGGTTGATGAGGTGGAAGGTTGGGGGGTGGAGGGGATTAGGGATGGAGAGGATTGAGTCTGGAAGGGGGATACGGGGCGAGATTTGCCAAGACCAGGAGGCGCAAGCGTCGCGTCACACGGAAACGGTTATTTTGCCCCCAATGGCTACGTGGTGGCGTGGAAATGAAGTGACCACTGTATGGCTGTGGTATGGCTAGAGTATGGTAATTTAATTTATGAACACATGAGCCCAGTATTAGTACCCAGTAGTACCCAGTAGTACCCAGTAATATATCCAGCAATACAAAAAGTATCTATAGTACTCAATGCTGACTCTTTAGTACTCTGGAGAACAAAATCTGAAGCCTAGGATTCCTCCCTAGGGTCCCTCTTTCTTCTTCCGTTTCCGCACCGTAAAGTGACTCGGAATGGCTGGTCATTGGCCCGCTCCCCTGCAGACAGCAGTGGAGTCCAGCAGGGCAAAGGAAAACAAGCCTGGTGCCCAGATGCTCACCTTCTAGAACAGAGCACAGAGTACAGCGTACAAGGGGAGTTTTGTACAAGTACATCAGCTGTGCCACTGTACTCCATACAGTTGTTGGGATACCTCTGTAATATAAGCGTGCATGAAGTTGTATGATACTAGCGGCTGACGATCAAAGGGTCCACGGGCCGGGGACCGTTAAGGCGATGCTTAAGTAGTCAAGGTGAGGGGAATATCGGAGTAGTATATCTACTAGTTAGTAGTAGGTATACCTACTGTTTATTTGTATGCTGGTTATCATACCTATCAGTCTGTAGAGTATATACAGACCCCGTGTCTAGAAGTATACGGGTATACGGAGTAGTGCTCTATGTAGTTAATACATATGTGGCCCTTCCTGGGCTCCACTCGGTCTGGACCCTTTCCCTATTCAACTCCTAAGGGGATGGATCTCGTGTGAGCGGTTACTACAATCGGGGGAAGGAATGCTGGGCATTGACAGGCTGCAAGATTTCAGATCACCCAGGTAGACGTATATCTATACAATATCCCCATGATATCACCTAGGCAGACGGTTACTTCTACTACTGCTAGGTACTCTTCTTCTACCACATGAGCACTATGTGGCGTACCCTTCCCATGGCCGGGCCCCATTTGCTGGTACTTATACCCCCGAGGGCCTCGAGGATATCACCCACATTGACATCAGAGGGTAATTAAATGTGACCCTCCCATATCGTCACGGTCACAGCCCTTCACACTCCCTGTCATTCCTCCCAGTGTTCCAAGGGTCTGTGTCGGTCGATAGGAAACGATCGTCGATTTGCTGCATGGCCAAAACAACCGCGGGGTTTCCCTCCCTCTTCCCCCCTTTTTTCATCTTTCATTTTTTCATTCTCATCTAGAATTCAAAACTACGTACACACCCTCCGGACCGAGTCTGTCGTGTCTGCGGTTCTTGCGCCATGAATCAAGTTCTGGCTCGTCCCTCGGTCTCCGAGAACCCAAGAACCCCCACGATTCAGCTCCCTCATCCTTCCATGCATCTCGGACCCGCGCCGCCCTCCCGCAATGGCCAAGTAATCCTGGACACTTTCTCCCCCGTCAATGAACATGGCAGCTTCGCTTTCGACCGCGTCCTGAAGACGGGGAAAGTATTCCGACGTGTCAAACACAAACATGTATTCCGCGCCTCCTGGAAATCCGCATACCTTGTCCTCCGCCCGAACCTCCTCTCCGTCTACAAGGATGAAGAGACCACTCGGCTCCGCGTCTCAATCACCCTCTCTGAGGTAACCGCCGTCGCAACAGTCAAAACCCCTCGCTCCAACCGCAAGCACGTCTTCGGAATCTTCACTCCGTCCAAGAACTACCGCTTCGAAGCCCCCCTCTGAACGCGATGCCGAGGACTGGATCGACCGAATCCGCGCCGAGACCCCGAGAGATGAGGACGACCAAGCCTTCATGGCCTTATCCCACAAGCGAGAGCCCCCAATTATCCAAAGACAATTCGTTGACGACACTACCGACCATTCCGATCATGATGCAATTGCCCGCGCCAGTTCCCCCGAGCTAGGCCGCGCCTTATCGCCGGTCGCGGGATCCAGCCCCTGGGTCGCCGCTCGGAAGGCCCCCATCCCTTTCACACAGGACTATTCAGGGAACGAGATTACCTCCTATTCAGAGCTCTCGGATGGACCGACGCCCACGCGAAACAGCCGATTGCGATCCATGCCCTCGATTCACACCCTGTCCATATCCGCCCCTGAAGACAAGATAGTCTCCTCGTCTCTACCGCGAGATTCGAGCCGGCAGTCGGATCTAGGCATTCTGCGGGATCCGGAACGTGTCGTTTGTCAAGGATATTTACAGGGACTGCGAATTAAGGGTACTGTTCGACAGTGGAAACGGCTCTGGGTTGTACTTCGGCCTAAAACGCTGGCATTTTACAAGGATGACCAGGAGTATTCGGCTCTTAAGATTATCTCTATGTCTCAAGTCATTGATGCCGCTGAGGTCGATCCGATGTCCCGATCAAAAAGATTCTGCCTGCAGCTCATCGCCGAGGAAAAGACGTACCGGCTTTGTGCTCCGGACGAGGAATCACTCGCGCGCTGGCTCGGCGCGTTGAAGAGCATCTTTGTTGCGCGCAAGAAGCTCGAAACCGCCCCAGCTATCGCGGCGTAAACTCCGCACTCTTTTTCACTCTTGTTTCCTTGAGCGCTTCGTAAATCTTTCTTTTTACTTTTCTTTTCGTCTCCCCATTCCCACCCCATCGCCGTTTCATTCTCATATCCTCATTTCTTCGCAGATGACCTATACATATTCATCAGCTAATACTTTCACATTGAGATACTCTTGTCTCCTTCTGGATATACCCATTTTGTTGAGAGCGCTTTTCTCTTACTCCTTTGCCAACAGACGGAGCACCGGAGTCATCGAGAAATACCAGGCGTTATTACCTTCCTTTATGGACATCTGGCAACGTCCTTATAACTTGAAGCCGATTCCTTTTTTTGCAGTACCTCTCACGCAAACCTACTCATCTACTTTTAACGTTTCATTCTATTAACACACATCCTCAAATGTAGAAAGCAAAAAATGATTCGGAGCAATGATTTTCTAGATCTACTACATTGAGAGCTTTCCGCTTCAAATATTCATTGATTGGAGATATTAAACGACTGAACTTCCTATCACCTAGTAAAATTCAAATTCCATTCTTGAATACAAAATACTGCAATAATACTCTAATGAGGCTCGCATGTGGTCTCCATAGGACTAGGTACCAACCAGTATGACGTTGTTCCAGACCGGCTGATCTGGATTCCTTAATGTTCAGCTGATCCTACTCGACTGACTTCTGCTTAGCTGCCTCTCCCTGTGAGCGGAACGTAGCGTTCTCAAACGCTTTACACCAAAGTCTAGAGTTATACACTCGACGCTCCTCAACAGTCGGCATATACTTCGACATGCTGCGGTCCATCATAACGTCAGACAAAAGACCCCGAATTCGAGCCTCGAAATGATTCACATGCCAGTACTCTTGGCTGCCAGATTCGAATTTCACCGCATTAAGGTCTGGTCCTCCCAAAACATACTTGCCGGCGCCCCTGAAGTGACAAAATTGCATCATGTGAAAAGACTCCCGGCGCACCATTTTAGCAATAAACTCGTTAGTGAGACTGTCACTTCGTTTTACGAATAAGAGATCATCAATGACCTCCCGAATAAGTTCAGTAAACTTTGGCAAATAGAATTGGAATCGGAGCTCCGTTTGCTCCTTTTTCCACGCATACACTTCCGCCATCGCGTCAAGGACTCGGCCGTATACACCCCCCCCCGACTTTCGTACCTCCTCAACTGTCCAGTAAACCCTCGCGAGAGACTTCCCCCAACCTGCGAGCATAACGCTGCGGAAAACCTCTGCGTCGGGCTTGCGGCTCTCTAGAGCATCCCGCGCTTCCTTGGGAAAGTAGTCACCCCAGGCCTTCTAGAGAACAAGGGTGGAAGGCTCTTTGTCAGATGCGGCGCTCTCGCACATTCCTTCTCCTGGCTCTTGCAATTCAAACTCGCCCCGCAAAGCGCTCTGGAAGAGACTGCGCCATTTCTCGTCATCAAACATGAAGACCTCGACACTACTTGTGTACTGAGCCAGTCCGGTTCCATCGTCGAGACCCTCTCGCAAGAGCTCGACAAATACGTCTGAGAAATAAATTCTATCAAGATGAGTCTTTGCTTCGGATATATGGCGTGCCTGCTCGACTGGATCTATCGGCCTTGGAACATCAATGTTCAAGAAAGATTTCTGGTTCTGAGCCATAGTGAGAACTTGCAATAATACTGAATTGGTGTTTTGATATTAGTACTGGATTGGTGTTATGGTAATTGGAATGGATACTATGAGAGTCAGTTATATTGATGATTTTAGAAATACTCAGAGGTGGATCGAAGCGGTATTTATCTGTTAGCCCACTTATTTGAATATTAGTTTCTAATGCCATATTCGGACTAGTTTTGCTGATTGTTTCAAAGAGCTCGACAATGGAAGAGACTATCCAGCTTTCAGCTATCCGAGAGTCCCCTGTTGTAGTGTTTCATTATTTCATACAAACAATCAGAGGGAGATTCCATTCATTCCCTGGCCTTTGTGTAATTATCTCGAGTCTTTGAATATGTGGAACCTTGAGATAAGTTCCATCAGGCTGTCAAGTCGAAAAACATAGGGACAGCAGATACAAATGGGTCCAATAGAAATGTAATTCTAGGCTAAAGATGCAACGAAACAAGTCAATCGACGCAGGAAACTTCGTAATAATCCTAACGGACCTCATCACGAGAAATGCTCTCATATTCACCGGAGGACACTCTGTGTCGAACGGGGTCAGGGCTCTCTTCTTCAACTTTACTCTCGTGGTTGACGACCAAAAATGACATAAATACAATAGCAGCTCCAAACCAATATAATGGGGAAGCATACTGTTCCTGTAGAATGATCTGGCCGACCAGGGACAGCGGAATCGTTAAACTTAGACCGACTGTCACAACAAGAGGAGTAGTCAGGAGCATGGCGTATGCCCACGCAATATCAGAGATGAAGGATGACAATGAGTTGACCTGTTCGTATAATAGTCAGCAATGTAATCTCTCCATCTGCACTGTCCGGGGCAGCGCAGCAATATAAAAAAAAAGGATGAACATACTAAGATAATGGTCCACACCCGGTCTGTGCTGGGCAATTCGAACGTTTCAATTCCAATCCAATGGAGGATGAAGAATCCAGGCCACAAGAGCACGAGATTGAAAAGACCCACCAGCCCAAAAAAGAGCTGCATATTCACGCGTGACTCGTCACCTACTTGCTTCTTCATTACGATCGTGTAGATCCCGTACATGATGGAGCTGAATGCCGCCATTGCGTCGCCTAGGGCAATCTCGCCGGATGTTTTGTGCGGGAACGAGCCATCTCGGCCACTGATAGCAGCCGGGGTTGTGTCGGTGTCCTGCTTGGACAGGTCCACGCGGGAGATCAGAATGATTCCGATGAGGGACGCGATGACGCCGAGGAGCTTGCGGGGCGTGAATCTCTCAACTCCAATCACGGCTCCGAAGATCAAAGTCCAGACACCTAGGGTTATCGGGGTGAGTTTGCGATTTATAGGTTGAGATACATTGGCTGCTTGACTTACCACTAGTTGATGTTAAGATAGTCGTGCTACCCACTGTTGTGAACTGGAGACATGCCATAGCAAAGTAATTTGCCTAGACAAGAGCAAGTTAGAAGGTTATATCCTCAGTTCGAAGCCATTCCATGAGTAGTTATGACATACGATAAACTGCGACTAGTTAGCGAATTGTTTTATCTCAAAGAATCCAGGTGTTTCTTACCCAAAGGAGACAGAACTCGAGACTGAGCTTTGCTGTTGCCCGTAGCCCCAATTTGGCACTCTGGTCGCCGTTATTCGCACTTGCATACAACGGGTTCTCGACATCGTGGGCGCGCGATTCATTGTCGAATGATCCCCCACGTAGGATACCCTGCTCCTCGGGTTTGGGGTCCTCCGAGTCTAGATGGCGCAACAAACTCCGGAAGGAAGTTATTTGCGATAGTTTCTTAGAGCGCCACAGCGTCCATGTTCGACCGAGTAATATGGTAAATAGTGGCAATATGAACAGCGAGGTGTTCACGTAGGTGACGAAGAAAGGCTTTGGGTATGTATTGTCGGCAAATATTGTCTGATGAGCAGAAATGTGTTAGAAATAGTTGTACAAGAGGGTCTCATGGCTTTCACACTGTGCGCACGGGGAATTTGCGAACGTACACTTCCGAGGAAATTCGAGGCTGTCCAGAGTACCACCACCACCAAGAGCAGGCCCATCCCCACTGTATGTCTAGCAAACCCGGCCGTCTGCGGCTCTCGGGAGTCGCGGGAGGAGGCCATCTTGTCACTCTGTGCTGGTATGGGAGCAGAGTATTCGGTGGGAAAAAAGGGCGTCGAGAAGTTGTGGGCGGGTTCGGCGTGTGATCAAATCGTGGGGGACTTCCAGCGTCGCCAAGTGTGACAAGGAATGCAGATCATATGCGAGAGATCGATCACGCGATAATAGTCGAGCCGGATCCCGGTGGATATCTGCCCAGGGCGATCGAGGGGAATCCTGTCCGGCAGGACGGTGGAAGGTCGAGCATTCAAATGCAGTGTGGTTGTGGGAGGATGGGATCGGCACTGGCAGCGATAAGAGAACCGGGGAGACTCCACCGGGATGCCGTTTAACCACCACCCTGGCTACCCTGGTTTTATAAAGGTTTCATATTGAATATGATTTCCAGACATCTAGTCAAAGTACATTGGAGTGAGGTTCAGTCTATGCCATTGAAATATTGTCTCTAGAGCTCCGTGGGACTTATAGTCCGCTTATTTGATCTGTCACTCTGAAGTGGACCTATTACAGCACCCCATCTAATTTGTAGTAGGTTAGAGTATCGCCAAGCCTTTTGAAAACTACTTTGGAAATAGCCATGCAACCTTTGGAACAAGCTCAAATATAACATGCATGAATCACTCATTAAGGAGGCCAAGGACGAGTCAATTCTGCCTATGGCTCAGTTGCAAAATCCACAGCCCAAGCCGAAAACATCTACAGACAGAGAAGCAATCCAAACAAGCAAATCAATGACCATCTCTACAGAACCCCACCAGGGAAGATGAGAACCACCAGCATTGGTATGTGACGAAGAGAAAAGAAATGAGTATAGGAAATGAGAACAGTCGCTTAAAACGTCAGGAGAAGCAGGCAAGGGTATCAACAGGCACAGCCATCGCGCTCATTGTCCAGATGGATGTTGATCGGGTCACTGAACTCTCCGCTGAACTCTTCAGCCTCTTCCTGCGCGAGTGCGCTCCGGGCGATCACTAGAAACAGTCATTAGTAACCAATCATATAGTGATTGGACGAAAATATTGACTCACCCTCGAATGCCTGCTCAACGTTGACTGCCTCCTTCGCACTGGTCTCAAAGTAAGGGATGTTGCCCTTTGACTGGCAAAAGGTCATAGCTCGTTTCGAAGAGATCATGCGCTTGTTCTCCTCCACGTCAATCTTGTTACCAATAACGACCTGGAAGGCCAATTAGCACGACGACCATTTTAAACAAGCGACTCGAAATCCACTGCTGGGCAAAAACGAGGATATGGGTAGCACTTACAAATGGGAAGCTCTCAGGGTCACGCGGGCTCGCCTGAATTAGAAATTCATCCCGCCAGCTGTCCAAGGCCTCAAAACTCTTTGAGTTGTTCACGTCGTAGACCAAAACGCAGCAGTCGGCTCCACGGTAAAAGGCGACACCCAATGATTGGAAACGTTCTTGGCCAGCGGTATCCCAGATCTATTTACAATCAGTTAGCGCTTCCGACCCACATGGCGATCTCTGCAAGCTGTCGGGGGCGAGATTTACCTGCATAGTGACCAGTCGGTCGTCAACGAGAACTTCCTTAGTGAGGAAATCGGCTCCGATAGTTGCCTTGTAACTTCCGCTAAACTTCTTGTTGACCTATGGACCACGGAGCAAAAGGCGATATATTAGCGACGCTGAAGGAATGAGGCAGATGGGGGGGGCTCGACGGTAACGACAAAGCTGAATTGGGGGGTTGAAAGAGGACACACATATTGGTTCATCAGACTGGTTTTACCAACACCACTGTCACCAAGGATAATAACCTATAATTCAGGTCACCAGGTTAGTACTTGACTTGGAGTGGTCGTTCGGAGCTGGTGCGGAGGCGGAGAGCGTACCTTGAGGAGAACCTTCTTCCGTGACGCCATGGTATCGGTCAGTCTGATGGTGTTGAGGCAAAGGGTAATAGACCACCAGAAGTATAGGGAATAGAAAGGTACGATTAAGCTCGTCGCAGGGTCTGGAAATGGTTGAAGACGAGAGGAAAGATGGTGCTCGGGAGTTGGAGTTGAGAGTTGGGTTGCAGCGGGATTTGATGATGCACATGGGCCGGGCGGTCGAGGGGGGCGGTGGGCAGGTGATAACAAGATAGCGCCGCGAACGACATCATCGCATCTCCGACACATTCCTCACATCGGGAAGGCTGATGGCCCATTGGAGAGAGGAGTATCTGGCTGCACTGGCTGTGCGAGATCATCGAGAAAAGGCCAATCTCACCATTTATGATGCCTGTTTGTGCCTCCAGAGTTCAACTGAAGCTCCTGGTTCTATAACTGACATACTCCAACCACAATAGATACCCGACTCGCAGATGGCTCGGCCAAAGCCCCTCCTGCCATAGAACTAAGTGGGATCTCACCAGGCGAGAGAGAGCTCGCAGCCAGCAATGAAACACAGAAAGTTGTCCCTTCTCAATCCGCGACAAACAAAAAACATCAGACAGAAGCGGGACCGTCAATAACGGACCTTCTAAACACTACTCGCACCGAATTAGCTGAAGCACAGCGTTCTCGCGCTGAATTACGAGATCGCCTGGACCAGACAACTAACGAGGCGGAGAAACTCCGAAAGAAGATCAGCCAAGACGGCCGACGAATCAACTCGCTGGAAGGCGAAGTGGTGCAACAGCAGAAACGTCTGAAAGATGTTGATGAAGAGTTGAGAGGAAAGGCCAAACTGCTTGACGTATGCATTGTCCCCTCTGCCCCACCCTCTAGATCGTTTGGTAGCAAGGATAAGTTTTTGTATCATGAATGCAGCTAATAGAGACCTCCGCCCCAATCAGGACTTCCAAGATGAAATAGCAGCATTGAACCTTCAGATGAACATGGCCGAGCAAAAGGCCGCCCGGCTTGAACACGAGAACAGAGAGCTTGTTGATCGTTGGATGGCGAGAATGGGCCAGGAAGCCGATGCTATGAATGACGCCTCTAAGTTTTCATGATGCTCGTAAACAGAAGAGAACAAAAAGGTCTACGTCCTATGCATGTCCTTGACACGATCAACTGGAAAAGGAGTGCCCGCCTAGAGAGATATGCGCCTTTAAATACAGAGGCTAGATTAGATGGAATCTTATTTGTACAGGTTGAATTGGTATGATACAATAATCCATGGATATGTCCAGAAAAAAAAGAAAAAGGTTAATGTACAGTATTGGACCAGTGTCCAAATACCAAGTCTGCCCAATGGTGTTGAAATACCAAGCTCCGGTGAACAGCTCCACTTCATAGAGTGCTGTCCATAAAGGACTTCAATCGTGAACTATCCTTGGTCGCAATGAAATATGTGCCGCCAACGTCGGTCCAACTGACGCTATTGGACCAATAGTTCTTTTGCTGGACCTTGAGGAGGTTGATGGGAGAGTTGAGGTTGCGCGACTGGATCTTATGGCCAGCTGGGACGAATGACTTGAGGGAAACAATACGGCAGCCCTCCTTCATATCCAAGAAATGATTGATCAGCTCGTTGTTAAGCTGTGGCGTAAATGCTTGATTGTTAATCAGGATCACATCGGCGCGCTTAAGAACGCTAACGATGCTCTCTTGTTCCAAGAAATCACCCCGAACAAGATGCGTCTTACCAGGTGCGATACCCCAGAGCCGGCAGCGGGCCTTGAACTCAGACTGCTGGAGCTCTGCCAAATCGCATGCATTGTTCATCATCTCGCAGCCCCAGCTCTCACAGCCGATTTCAAGAGCAGCCTGGAGAACCACATTTCCAACTCCAGAGCCGAGATCGACAAACACTTGGCCGGACTTGAGCTTCGTTTCCTTGAAGATGTTGCTGATGAATCGGGGGAGAAGTTCGCCGTACACATTATCCGTGCCGTTCTCATATTGCCGGAGGGATTCGACTCGAGGGGACACCGTGCGCGCATATGTTTGGTTGAGAATTCGCTCTACCCAGGGTAGATCTATCCGCTGTGTCGCATCCAGCTGCTTCGCAATACTGCCGGAAATCCTCAACTTCTCAATAGCCTTGTTGTAATCCCCCACCGCGTCTCGGAACTGGGTCTCCGAGGCGACTGCCAGCGCTCGGCGCAGCCTTCGTCGGATTCCGGTTGTCTCATCATTGAATTCGTCGGCCTCTTCGCTCGGAATATAGTTATCGGAAACAGTTTCGATGACCTGTACAATGTCGTCGATGGGCCGGAAATCGCCGCTGTCTCGAGGAGAGACACAGTCGAATCTGCACGGTGAAATAAAAAGAACTTGTAAGCGCAATTCGGGACCAAATTATACCACGGGTGTCCATACCTCTCTTTTTGCGATGCACTTGGGTACTGCAGAAGAATCTCCCTGACCGTTTCGGCACCAAACGCCGGCTTGAATGACCCTGGTTTCTGTGTCGATGTAATATCGGTCGCATGCACCATTTTGAACGGCCGACTTCCCTCCTCCGAAAATGCCTTCGCCGAGCGCACGCGACGTTCCGGGTCAGGCTCCGCACTGGCGCTGGTTTTCGCACGCTTCCGTACTTCGAACGAGGCGTCACTATCGCTGGCATCATCGTCACTGGAAAGTCGTTGCTCGGGGGTTGGACGCTTCCGCACGCGCGTTGGGGTATTCAGTCGTTTAGAGGGGCGGGCATCGGGATCACTCGAGACAGATCGGGCCGCATGAGTCTTTCGAGATCGCTCCGACGAGGATTGGACTCGAGGGGACCGGGGTTTCGGGGTGTTGGGAGCCGATTTTGCCGGAGCTGGTCGCGTCTGAACAACTTTGCGAATCTGGTTCTTCTGTGGCTGCAGAGAGAAGGCCCCTCCATTCTGGAACTGATCAAAGAACCCCATGGGGATGGAATGTGCGTGAAAAATGTACTGTATGAACCAAAAAAGTAACAAATAAAAGGACTAATGTATGCGCAAAAACATGAGGGCGTATGTATGGTCGGAGTTGAAGAGAGGAAGATCGGAGGAGCCTCAGTAAAAAGAGGAAAGAGGGTCGAAATGGGGCGCAGGGAAAGCGCGATCGATAAGCGGAGCGCCACTCGCCAAGCCCGCTTGCCGTGACTCCGAGGAACTACTGCACTCACTACATTGTACAACTACATAGTATAACACTAGTCAATACTAGTACACAGGGTATCACAATGACATTCCGTCGACTATGTACTAAAGATACATCTAGGACTTGTTCTTCTTCTTCTTTGCCAATCTCTTTTCCGCACGAATATCCTTCTTCATACGTGCATCAACAATCTTGTACTTGCCCTTGACGCCCTTAGGACGACCGGAGATACCACGGTTGGTACCCTTGGCCACAACTAGCTTGACCTGCTGCTTGGGCTTCTTCTTGGTAGCCCGGCTCATCATCCTGGTGATGGCCGCCGACTTGTCTCGCTCGCTGAGCGCTTCGTCCTCTGCCAACAGAGCGGACTTCTTGCGCAATTTCTCGAGCCTTTGCGCCGCCTTGAACTTCTTGCGACCCTTGGCTTCCATCACCTTCTTGATGGGACGGGCATTGATGGCGCGCAGCTTCTCCTTGATAGCGGCGGAAGCGGCGGCGGTGATGGGCCGATTGGGCTTGCTGTGTTGACCCTCGTCGTCCATGAACCAATCAGGCAGACCGTCGACGTCCCGGAAGGAGAAGCGGTTGAAACCATCGTCAATAAGATCAGACGACTTCTTCTCACCAGTCGCCATTGACTGGGCCAAAGCCATAGCCTCGGCTGTAATGATATCGATGTCTGTAGATCCAAAGTTAGAAAGGCATGCGCGTCAAGTGTTTAGCGTGAGAACTCACCAAGTTGGCCGTTGGGTTTCCGAGGCTCTTCGAATTCCACAGGCTCTTCATCTGAATCAACCCATTCCTCCTCGGATTTCTTGGAGGGCTTCTTCTCCTTCTTGTTCTTCTTGGATGGCTTTTCTTGCACTTCAACTTCATCCATATCGGTGTCTTCATCCTCCTCCTCCTCCTCCTCCTCCTCCTCCTCCTCCTCCTCCTCCTCGTCTTCTTCCTCATCTTCGTCCATTCCCTGGAAGATGTCTTGGTCGAAGAAGATGGAGGCGTTATTTGATAGGCTTCCAGCTTGAGGGGCATCGTTCACAGCGGCAGCCGACTCCGAGTTTTCATTCTCTTCCTCATCGTCGCTCTGATTATCCTCTGAGAAACCATCCCACTCATCAGTCTCGTAAGGCTTTCGTGCCTTCTTGGCACGAAGCTTCGTGTCTCTGTCCTCCATGCGATCTTGGTATTGGTCGTACATGTTATCAAGCTCTCTCTCGAGACGGTCGCCATCGTCATCACTCTCCTCGTCGTCTTCATCTTCTTCTTCCTCGCTCTCGCTTTCATCAGGAAGATCACGCGCATTGACGACAGCATCACGAGCACCTGCTCGATCCACTCTTTTCAAGGAGAAAGTGCTGTCTGAGCCTCCGAGGCCAACTTGCTCCATACCAATATCCATCGGCGTAGTCATGTGCATTTGCAAGCGCACGATATCCTTTCGTTTCTTGGCATTTTCCTTGCGCCTTTCCTTCTTCTCCCGGGTGGTTTCGTTCTGGCGCATGCGCTGAAGGTCTTCCTGGATCGCCAATTCTTCATCCATCGGGGCGACTTCCGCGACCTCCTCGGCATCATTGTCCTCTGACTTCTTCTTCAACGCAAGACCAAACTTCTCACGGACCTTGATGCGCCATCGAAGCAGGTTTCGAAATTCCTTCTTTCCAAGAACCTTGAGATCCTCACAGCAGGTTTTGATTTCTTCTGTAGTCTCCTCCAACCTGTTCAAAGTCTGCATTGCGAGATCTCCACCAATTGGTTGTTGGAAGCTGAGTTTGTTGTAGGTGCCAAGGATAGCGATAGGGTCTGTAGTGTTGATGAACTCGGTCGCCTCGATTTCTTTGAACTGGGTGTAGTCTCCTTCT